TTTTTTTTTTTTTTTTTTTTTTTTTTTTTTTTTTTTTTTTTTTTTTTTTTTTTTTTTTTTTTTTTTTTTTTTTTTTTTTTTTTTGTGTTCTTCGTTGAGAAAGCCCAGAACAAACTTTCTAGGCCCAAAAGTTTCATTAAAAAACTAGTGGGCTCCATGGCCCACCATCTCCTGGTACTGCTTGAGCGATTCCTGTCTCTGCAGCCTCATCTCGTCGTTGAACTTCTTGATGAAGGCCTCAACTCGGCGGTTCAACTCGTCCTGAGTCAGCGACGGTTCTCTCTTCACCCTCCCCGACCCGCCGGGAGACGGACTCGGCGATCCGCCGCTGCTCCGATCGTTGAACGTCTCCGACTTCTTCATCACCTTCGATGGCGGCGTCGCCGGGTCCACTAGAGCGGCGCCTCTTCGCCCGTGTGACTCCCACGTGTCCGACTTCCTTAAATGCCTCGTTAGCGGCATCGACCTTCTTTCCGTTATTGTTCTCCACGTGCTCTCGAATGTCTCCTGCCGCTTCGGTTTTGAAACTCCCAACGGCTTTCCTGCGCGGCCACATACAAAACAGACGCAGATTTCACTATAATTACTACTTTTGCCACTTGCGAATTATAATCCATATGAAGGGTAGTTTCGGTATTATAAATGGAACTTGGTCCCGTTGGTTACAGCCATTTAACGGCACTGAGATTAATCAGATGCGTGACCTTCCGTCTTAAGGCTCAGTGTTTCTGACAGCTTTTTCAAAATAAAAATTTACCAGAAAAGAAAAGAAAATCGGTTTCGTTTTGTTCATTGTGTTACGGATCGGATCCGGCGATCTTCTCCGGCGCGATAGTCTGAAACCGCCGGGGTTTTCATTACAGAGAAATTTCAGTCATCTAATTCTTACGTTCACTAAAATCTATTGGAATGGCGAAATGAGCAGCGATTTTACGAACTAGCTATACCAGAAACCATATTGATGTACTAAAAAAAGCAGAGAGAAAGAGATCGAACCTTCAGGACTAGCTTTCACGAATTTCCGTTGGCCGATTCTTGAAGAAACCGGCGGTCTCTCGTTCTCATTTGAAAATATAAGTCCGATGGAATCTTTCCTCTGCAGAGCGTTGGTCATCGGGCTCGATACACCACTTTCATCAGAAGCTTTAATCAAAGAATCATTCTCCCCTTTCTTCTCCATTTCAGAAACCCTAGATTCTACATTCATCCGTCCGTATACGCCGTTCGATTCTTCGATTTGAAGGTCCGAAACGTTCGTCGCCACGTTCGGAATCGCGTTGTAACTGTATCCATTAAAAATTTCGCTCCCGCCACACACAGCATAGGCAGAGGAGATCTTAGCGACCGGAAATGGAGCGATCGTGTGAGGAATCGGCGGTACGGAAGCATCATCCTCCAGCTTAGGCTGGAACTTAGAAGAGGCAACAATACTGATGATTATGCAATTAATAAGCAAGTAGAGATAAGGAGGTGTTAACCATGAGAGAAAGCAGGTCCAGATGGAGGGGATTTCAGAGACGATGAAATCGGACACCACTGGAACAGAAAGCTTCAGAAAGACGGCCATGGACAGAACTCCGGTGGAAACTAGGAGGATCTTGAGGGAGAGGATCCATTGGTAGCTGGAGTTAGAGGAGAGAATCGACATGGCGCTTTTCTGGTGAGGCTTAGAATCTTACCTTTGCGATTGATCTGGTTTACCTGAGATTCTTGGCGGTGGGGCGCGGAACAGAGAGAAATGGTTGGTTGAAAGGCACCAGGCTTTTATGCAAATAGCCCTTTTATATATACTGACCTCCTCCATATATTTTTCCATTTTATTATTATTATTATTATTATTATTATTATTATTATTATTATGTTTTAATTTGTTGTAGGGCGTTTGGCCGAACCCCACAATTTCTCAATTTATAATTTTGCTTCTCTTTATATTACAAATAATATTTCATGACTTTTATAATCATATATTAAATAATTAAATAATTAAATAATTAAATAGTGTTTTGTTTTATTTATTTATAACTATTAAATAGTAAATAGTATTTTTAATGACAACAAATAATATTGATTGTTTAAAAGAAAAGGAAATTATTTTCACAATTTAAAATTTGGAAAAAATAATAATAAAAGAACTCTCACTAGTTTTTAACAATTATGGATTTTATAATCCAAAAAAGTAACATTAAATCTTATAATTGATGATATTAAATAATCTAAAAAGGAAAATATGAGTTGAATTATATAAGATAGAAGTAGTAGTTAATTTGAAGGGGTATATATGTAATAACACATGGCGAGAGTGTTTGCAGTGGGGAAGGAAAGGACAGAAGTGGATAATTTAAATATTTGAAAAGGTGGCCAGTTCCCAACGGCTATATTTAACGAAAAATAAGACCGTTGAAAGCGGAGACCCGGATCCATTGGGCGGTGGATCCATTGCTGTATCCCACGTGCCAATTCACCCGCTCACAGCCAACCGACTTCCCTTAATTTGTACTACCAGATATAGAGAGAGAGATTTAAATTTACAAAACGAATATGCCTTAATAGCAAAACGACACCGTATATATTCTCCACTCATCCTTCTGTTTTAGATTTTTGTAGTTTTTAAAAATTTTAATTTTGTGATTATTACTCTAAAATTTCAATATCATACTTCATAAATTATAATTTTTAAATTAAAATTTAAGTAATTTGTTGAAAAAAAATTAAAAATTTTCTTCAACTTGAGAATTTATTGGATTGTATTTATAGAATTTTGTAAATTAATGTTGAGAATATTAATTTTGAGTTAATGGAGTGAGATTTTTTTGAATTAAATATTGAAGAATTTGTGGTTAACATGTAAAGTTATTATAGCTAAAATAATAATAATAATAATTTATATGTACTAATTCTTCAATTTTCTAGATATGTTAGTGCGATATGTTTGAATGGTTACAAACTTGTTGATTGTGGAGATTGCGTTGAAGATTGCGTTGAGTTTCAACTTTCTTTGTGGTTGTCTCTATCACATAAGTAAAAAAAATAAAGAAATTAAGTAAAAAAATGAATCATCTATATCATACAAAATGCATATATGTGCTCTGATATGGATCAAACTATGGGGATCTCATGCATTTATGTAAGTCACATGCATAAGATATTTTCCCTTTTTGTTAGTATGGACGCGTACCTTATCCAAACTGATTGCTTCCTCGCCCTCTCACATGGAACTAGCAACCACACGATGAGCCTTTCTCAATTGTCCTTCATTTTCTTTTCCCACGAGCAAGGTCACGTTGCCAAGGAAACCCAAAACCCTAAATCGTACTATGGCATGGCGATGGTCCTTCCCATCGATGACGACGATACATTTTGGGGGTGGGTTGGGATCTTAAGACCAAACTAAATAAAAATCCTACCTTTTGGATCTCCGAATTTAGAAAATTCCATCTATTTAAAAAAAAAAAAGAAAAAAGCAATGTATCTTAATTGTTATCTTAATTGTTGGCTAATTCTTAAAACAATTCTTTGCTTCTTTACCGTTCATTCCGATACCTTTCTTGATCTTCCATTTGTGTGTCATTTTTTGTCTTATAAAAACAGGCAATGTCATTTATACATCCATCGATATCCTTTCACTCTACATTCATATCTTCAACTCGGATACAGCTTAGGTATTGTTTTTTCTAATATTCAATTTTATGTCTAATAAATCGTATATGACAGGAGAGAGCAATATAGGGCGGTTCATATGGGATAGAATCAACCAAAAATGGAAGATTTACACAGATTTTGAAGAAAATTTGGGTGTCCTACAAAAAACATCAAGGAATCTAGTGACCCAATTAGAAGAACTCGATAGAAGTTCGAGTTGGGAGCGAAGCGAGGAATGGGAGGAGAAAGTAGAGGCATTGATAGACCAAGTAGAACACATCGAAAGATCAATCCAAAAATGGAACCTTTTCAGTACTGTTGCTGTTTATCTCTATGGAAAGCATGTTGTAAACAAGATGAACGAGGCAAAACAGCTACTTGAAGAAGGGAACTACTACCTACCCAAGTTCTTCAAATACTTGATTCTTGGAGGAGGAGTAGCAGCAGGATATGCCGCAAGGGAGTTCGTTAAACAAGGCGTGAAGCCGGGGGAGCTCGGCATCGTGTCGGAGGAGTCGGTGACGCCATACGAACGTCCCGCGCTCAGCAAGGGATATCTATTTCCGACGAATGCCGCGAGGCTGCCGGAGTTTCATGTTTGTGTTGGGAGTGGAGGGGAGAGATTGGATCCCAAATGGTATGAGGAGAAAGGTATAGAATTGATACTCAACACAAAGATTGTGGAAGCATCGCTTCATTCCAAAACTTTGAGAAGTGAAAATGGTATAATTTTAAGATTTGGAGCTTTGATCATTGCAACAGGTTCAAGGGTTATAAAATTGAGTGATTTTGGTGTAGAAGGAGATGATCAAGCCAAGAATATTTTGTATTTGAGAGATGTTAAAGATGCTGATAAAATTATTGAAGAAATGAGAGATAAAAAAAATGGGAAAGTTGTGGTTGTTGGAGGTGGATACATTGGACTTGAAGTTGGCGCAGCTTTAAAACTCAACAATTTGAGTGTCACAATGGTGTATAATGATCCATGGCTCATGTCCCGGCTGTTTACGAAAGAGATCGCCGAATTCTACGAGCGATACTACATGTCGAGAGGGATTAATCTCATAAACGAAACGTCGGTGATTGAGCTCGAAGCCGATTCGAGCGGTGAGGTAAAGAAGGTGAAGCTAAAAAATGGGAGGGAGTTAGAAGCTGACTTTGTTGTAGTTGGGGTTGGTGCAAGACCTTCTACAAGTCTGTTCCAAGGGCAGATTGAGATGAGTAGAGGAGGGATTAAGACGGATGGGTTGTTTAAAACGAGTATCGACGACGTGTATGCGATCGGGGACGTGGCTTGGTTTCCGATGAAGATTTATAATGAGATGAGGAGAGTAGAACATGTTGATCATGCAAGAAAATCAGCTATGAAAGCTGTGGAGGGTATCATGGCAAAGGGGAAGGTTGTTGAAGAATATGATTATGTACCCTACTTTTACTCGCGTGTTTTCGATCTTTCGTGGCGGTTTTACGGAGACAACGTCGGAGATGCAACCGTGGTGTTTGGAAATAGAAATCCGGGAGCGAAGAAGCCGAAGTTTGGGTGTTATTGGATCAAAGATGGAAGAATAATGGGAGGTTTCTTAGAGGGAGGGAGTGATGAAGAAAACAAGGCCATTCAGAATATGGCATGGCATCAGCATAAGGTCGAGGATTTACAAGAATTGAAAGCCAAAGGTCTTTCTTTTGCTTTGGAACTTCAGGATTTCGAGAAAAAGATATTTTAAATTTCAATAATACTCTTGAATCTTTAAAAAAAAAAAAGAAATTTAAAAATACTTTTATATCATGTTACCATTCTCGTCAATTTAGTTCTCCTCTTTATTCTCATTCACAATAGACTAGTTATCGACCCAGTCGATTTCATCTGTTCCTACTATTCAATGATTTTCAAAAACGGAGATGCGACACAGAGTGAAAGAACATGAATAAACTAAGACCATATTCAAATGAAAGAGACCTTAAAAATAAGATGATTAAAATAAACATAAAGAATGAAATGTTACTACCTATACTAATAAAGTGTACTTTATTTTAGGTAATTAAATGAATCGTGTTAATATTGTAAGGATAATATTTAACATTTTTGAAATTTTGAGGGTTAATAGAAAAAAGGTCAAAGTTGGAAGATATTTCTATGATTTAGCCTCAAGTAAATTTAACGTATCAAATTGTGCCACGTGGACAAAACTAATGGTTACTATTGTCATTTCAGCCGAACGAACTGTTGTACATAATCTTACCGACGGACGGACGGCCTAGTCCCATCGGCGGATAATCGAAGCCCATTTATTTGGTTTCCCCGGTTGATTCTTATCGCCGCCCACCGATCAAATGGATGACGTCGTCGGAAACAACCGTTTTCGTAATCTGAAAGACGGCTTTCACCACCGCGACCTGCGGACCAAGATCATCCACTTTCTTAACGGCGTTGGCAAGTTCGCCGTGGACTCTACCATATTCAGCACTCTCAAGGCCGTCTCCGGTTCTTTTTCCTCTTTCTTCCTCACAAACATACATCTGTGGATTATTTTACCAAGTTTTTTGTGATTTCAATTTTTTCATTTACATCGAAAACACTACGAACCCTAATTAGTTCAGGTTAAGATTCAGTATCGTGTTCCATAGCTCTAATATTTTGTATGGGCTTCTTCGCTACCCCAACCAAATATTCTGTTCGACTTTCTGAATTATCGGATTTATTCACACCCCGTTGCCCCAAAAGGATGGAAAATCTTTGTGATAGTATTACGTTTCTATTGTATTAGGAATATGCGTGGAAGAAAATTGAAGTTTGCATATTGCAATAGGATGGTTTGTGTGTCATAGTTCTTTGTGAAGTTCCAAGTAGTTGAATTCTGCTCGGCCTTAATGTTAAATTTTCCTCCAGCAGTTCCAAAATAAGTGCCAAATTTGGATTCCACTTTATTTTGATCAGTTTTCCCTCGAGTGACTCTAGGTGAAAATTCTCAATTTAGTGTGCCAAGTCTCCGTGGATGAGTTAACACCTTCAATCGAGTTTGAGGTTGATGACCTTGATTAGGTCATTGTGTTGCGTACTCTGTAGCTGGGCGGTTACAGACCTGGACCATATTTTCTAGAGTGTGATTTAGCCTTTGTTGTTCAGATTCTTCTATTTTTTTTTTTTTAGGAGATCGGCTTTAAGGACTTATGGTGTGAGATCCCACATTGGAGAGGAGAACAAAACATTCTTTACAAGAGTGTGGAAACCTCTCTCTAGCAGATGCATTTTAAAACCTTGAGGGAAAGTCCGAAAGGAAAAGCCAAAAAATGACAATATCTATCAGCAATGGGTTTGATCTCTTGCAAATGGTATAAGAGCCAGACACTGGACGATGTACCAGCGAGGAAGTTGAGCCACAAAGAGGGTGGACACGAGGTTGTGTGCCAGTAAGGATGTTGGGCCCTAAAGGGGGGTTGGATTAGGGGATCCCATATCGATTGGAGAAAGGAACGAATGCAAGCGTCCTAGCAGACACGTTTTAAAAACCTTGAGGGGAAGCCCAAGAGGGAAAGCCCAAAAAGAAAAATATGTGCTAACGGTGGGTTTGAGTTGTTATATAGGGGTTGAGGAGATACATTCTCCATCCTTTTGAGAGAGGGGAAGGTTTTGTGGCATGGAATTTGTGCTATTTTCTGGGACTTTGGGGAGAGAGAGAGGAATAACAAGATCCTGGGAAGTCTTTGAGTGATGTTTGGGTCTTTATTAAGCCCAAAGTCTTTTTGTTGGCTTAGCTGAGATCATCCCTTATTGTGCCAGTTTTAGACTATATTCTGGTTGGTTTAGATTTTAAAAATTTGCTTTGGCTTCAGTTTTTTGTTTTTCTTAAACGGGCTCGTTGATATGATATTGCTTTTGGTAAAAGACTGACCTGAATTGATCTAATTGCATCCCTACTGATAATTTGCTGTCATTTTAGTTGGTTTTGTCTACGAAGGACAATTAACTCAATTCAAATGGAGAAAAGGCATTGTAATGTTTACAGCTTCTTGCTTTATAACTTTTCCTAGCATTCCTTTCTTGGCTGAAATGATCAATGCCCTGTTTTTTCATGGATGAGCTTTGGAAGACTTCTGCTAGTATTCGACTTTGTGTTTCCTTATTTTCGGTTTCTTCTCATACTTGGGTGATGTAGGTAATAATCAGGTGAATAAGATTAGGCAGGGAGGATTAAAGGACACGCCCCATTCACCCTCTTTAAATGTAAAGCAACCAGAAGAGCTTAAGCTAGTGATGGATAAGATGGCGGCAGAGATGGAAGAAGCAGAGGCAAACAAGAACAAAATGAAACTACACCATTGTACATCTGCAAATATTGTTGATGTGTCTGTACCACTGAAGAAGTTGCCAGGGGAAGGTCCCAAAGGATCAGCCGTAATGCAAAACAAAAAACGGATCTTCATCCGTTCCCGACTGTAGACGATATCGAGTCCATTGTTGTAGTAGCATAGCAAGAATAATGGATTCCTTTCTTGACAAGGTATATAAGTTGGTGATAGTGTTTGATGTTAAAATTAGTTAATACTTTATCGTGTCTTTAAAGCTATGGCATCTAATATTATCATGGATGGCGTTCTTAGCAAGTAGAATACAAACCCCTCTGGTTCCCTCGTGTGTTTTAAGATTGATTTGGCTAATAGCATTCTGTTTTTGCCAGAATCGGTATATTGACAGTCTCATTGGTGTAAAACAGGTATTGTCCTCAAAATTCCAAAAATCCGAGAGTAGCTTCATGAATAAGTCACGATCTATCATTTCAAATATCAATAGTTCGATTCTTACCCATAGTTGTTGAACTGCAAGTAACATGGATACTCTCGACGATCTTGGGAAGTATCTAAAAATAAAACAATCCAGAAAGGTTCATTTTCCAATATGTGAAGCAACAAAATTGAAAGATTTCATGTTCTAGTCACAAGTTACAGGGTAAAAGACTGTAGATGAAACATATTTGTGTCAAATAAGGATATACACAGTGGATCCATTTCACAAATTCTCCTATACTTTCAGAACTGGAAACTTCTTCTTGCCACCCTAAGACATAACCAATATACAGAATCTAGGAAAATTTTCCTCTCATCGTGATCGCGTTTACCTCGACTTCACTGGAATCGTAATCAGAATCTCATCGTTGTTCAAATACCTGTAAAGTCGAAATGAAATAAGAATGAACAAAATAAACTAACAAGTACACAACTCTAGAGATCTGAGTTGAACACCAATGCCAGGAATTTTGATATCTGCAGGAACTGGGATTCTGGATCTGGGTTCAGTCGTTTTAGAAGTTTTGATATCTGGGTTCAATCGTTTGAGGAGTTTTTGAAATGGAGTAAGCTGTTTTATGCTCTACAAGGTGCTATGTGGTATTCAGATGAATAAGAAAAAACTGAGAGCGAAAATGAGCTTTCATTTTGTTGAAGTTGCAAAGGCGAGATGACGCTAAAGGATAGAGAAATGACAGATGGTGCAAAGGCTAAATCAGAAAACGTTCACTGGAAAGAAAAGCAGTATATCGACTCAGTCGACGACAAAATTTCATACCAGAATGAAGACGGCCAGTAAGACTACTTCAGTCCACATCTTTTACTTCAGCTTCTATGTCAACCACAGCACCAGAGGTTTCCTTCCCTACAATCAATCACAAGAGGCAGTTCAGTTTCAAGAACATTAAATATTTGATGTTGGACGGGATATACTCCAGCACGAATTACCTTTTCTGGGAGAAGTAAAGTCACTGAAAGCCTGTCCAAAGGTGGAGGAAGTTTTGTTGGAGAACATCACGGAATCCCTCACAAACTTGTCATCCACCACTGAATTTGAAAAGGAAAAGAAAGAAGCTAAGTGAACCATGATGAATAGATCAGGGAATGGTAAAATCAGTTCATGATCCAACAACAACAGGGTTCCCAGAAGAAGTAAATCGCTCAAACTGCTAATGATATGAACTCGGAAACTTTAAGTTTAAAGATGATCTATAAGAACTCGGGGTTTACCAGAGAAAGGTTGACTACAGAAAGGGCATAGTTGCAGTTCTTCATTCAGAGTTGATCTGCAATATGGAAGTAAAAGAAGTGTGTTAGTCAATACAGCTGAAAATTACACGAAACGAATCGAGGGATCTCGAACGAGGACGAACTTATATTAAATTCTTTCAAGAACACTTACTTGAATATTTGGAATTCATTTCCACAGTTAGGACACTGCAATTGCAAGAAGGTGTTGATATGAAGTTGCATAAGCTCAAGCTTTGAGATTGAAAATACAAAAGTTATAACAGACTTACAGTGCTTTGAACAATATCTCGTCCTGCCCACCATATAAAAGCGGCCACTCCAACAATTGGTACAAGAACTGCAACAAGCTGAATAGGCATATATGTTAACAGATCAAAACAAAGCACAAGAATGCAAAAGAAGAAGAATTCATCTTCAATCAGTTCTGGAATGCAAACAAATGAGAATTCAATACAAACTTTCTGTTTTTCCTATTAGAAATCAGTTTTGAAAGCCTGAGCCAGAAGAAGCAAGCCATAAACATGCTCCTATTGCTACTCTTCAGTGAAGTATTAAGATAATAGTGAACGAAGAGCTGCCCTTTCATCACAAGGACAAGTCCTAGTAAGAGCCGAACAGACGAATACTAAAGGAAATAACCAATGTTTCTTTGAGAAGGTTAAGAAATTCACAAATCCTTGAGAATCAAAACTCATTCGATGTTTGAGAATCAAAACAAGAGAAGAGAAAAGATGAATACAGACCCAAATGGAAACGATCGCATCTAAAATCCAGCCAAGCTGCCCTGTTACTGAAAGGTAAGTTAACCCAGCAGCCAAAGCAATATTACCCAGAAGCCTCGCGGTTGCGCCATCGTCTCCGCCGCCGCCGCCGCCGCCGCCGTTAAACCCAAAACCCTGATTAAACCTTGCTACAATTAGCCCTCTCTTTCCCTTAAACACTCCGTATTTTCCCAAAACCCCTTTGTTACTCCAACCCCCACTAAGAAACGGCAATTTCCCTCCACAAAGCCTCAAACGGAACCCATTACGGTCGCAGGAGGCAACCTTCGGGGGCGGAAGAGGATTAAATCTGGTGGGTTTTTTGTAGAAATTGTCGTGTAGTAGTAGGTTGAAGGAAGAGAATCTGATGAAACTTGTCATTTGGGATTAAAGGGAATATGAGGAAGCAGAGAAGAAGAAATTCATGATGGATTATCTGGTGGGAGAGTGAGATGGGTGTATGTCATTGCTGTTCCGTATACGGCTGCCGCGTTATCCAGTGGCTCCCGCTGCTCCATTTACAGAAACAAAATGAGGCTGGAATTTAGAGTTAATAACTTTTTCCCAACTCTAATCTCACTGCTAAAATCTTTCAAAGTTAAAAAAACAGAAGCTTTAGATAAAGGAAAAACACAGATTACGGCTAAAAAATGTTTTTTTTATAAATTTAATATATATTTCAACGTGTTCACAACAAGCGGGGATAGCTCAGTTGGGAGAGCGTCAGACTGAAGATCTGAAGGTCGCGTGTTCGATCCACGCTCACCGCATATTTTTCTTCTATCTTCTTCCCGCATGCATTCTTCATATGACGTCGTCGCATTACCATTTGATTATTATTTTTTTTAATACCAATATAAATATATTTTTTAAAATTATATTAATTTGTTAATTTGAAGTTTTTTTATTTTTATTTTTTATTTTTTATTTTTACATAATATACAAAAGTTATTATTATTAACTTTTACTTAAAAATAAGAAATGAAAAGTTAATAATCACACACATAATTGAACGTACGGAGGAAACTATAAAAATACATCAAACTTAAAGAAGGTTTATATGGAAATTTCGAGTTATGTATAGTTTATGTGCAAATTTGGAAAAATAGCTATAAAAAAGTATTTTTAGATAAATATCTCTAAAAAGGTAAATTTGGAAAATGAATCCACATCATATCCAATTTGCAAAGATAACTCCATTAATGTTATAATTCGCAAAAGTAACTCTAACAAAGTAATTTGTAAAAATGGCCCTAAAGTTTGTAAATTTGAAAAGATAGCCTCATAATTACCCAAATTTAAAATTTATCCCCCATAGTGTTAGTTAATAAGATAACAAAAATGGTAATTTGATTATGATGAATTTGGGATATGTATCAAAGTTATTAATTTAATAATTAAAGAAAATTTTGGATAATTTCCAAATGCTCATCCATTGGATTTTGGACAAGTGGAGCAACCTGGATTTCAAATTTGGCAAGAAAAATAAAACCAAAAATTAAAACTCGTAAATTATTTTTGGATGATCATCTTTTAAATATATACAAGTCAATTATGAAATATAAAATTTAAAAACATATATTGTCATATCAAAAACATGACAAGAGGCGGACAGAGCGTCAGACGAAAGATCTGAAGTATGCGTTCTCCCTACTTTCGAATTGGAAAATTGCATACAAGCCAAAATAGAAAAGTATTTATTTTATCATTTAATGCCATTTGATGCATGGTCAACTTTCACCAAAAATGGCATGTTTCTCAAATGTCATTCTTTCAACGGGAGCACAGAACAAGAAGCAAAAAGGCAAAGATAAATGCATGGAAGCCATTTGTGGTCTAAAAGTGTGAATCTCTTATCCTTTATAACACATAAACCAAGCTTACCTCTATGAAACTTTTACAGCCAAATCAAAGGGTGAAGAAGCCATGGTTATGAAGGAGGCTAAAGCTGAAGCAAAACTTGGGGTTGAAATTGAAACCATTTGGAAAGCATTGGCTAAAGACTTGAGATTTATCATTCCACAGCTCATGCCCGACACCGTTGAAAAAATTGAGCTCCTTCATGGAGATGGCGGCGTTGGCTCTATCTTGCTCTTCCATCTTGTTCATAGTGAGTTCATGCTCTTAATTCACCTAATTTCCATACTTCTTTTGGTCTTATAATATGAGTTTTTGCAGAGGAGGAGGCGATGAGGAGCCAGAAGGAAAGGATTGTGGAAGTTGATGAAACAAAGCATGAACTTGTGATACAAGTGTTGGAAGGGAATGTATTGAAAAGAGGGTTTTCTTCTTTCAAGACAACGTTTAAGCTGTCCCCTCTGAGTGAAAAGGAAAGCCTTGTGGATATCAAAGTTGCTTATGAGACTGAAAAAGATGGAGAAGGTGAACAAGCTCGCATGGACGCAATTGCAACTGCCCCACCTCTTTATTTTCTTCAACTCTTGGAAAACTTTCTTCCTACCTCAAATACTTAAAACCACTCCCCTCTTCTACGTCTCAAATGTGGTTAAGAGTTTTTGTTAAATATTCAAGTCATGTGCTACTTTCTTTTCAAATAAAAGTAGATATCTTTATATGAATGACGGCGTTGTTGTGCAAGCCATGAGAATAAGTAAGTGTTCGGATTTATGCCATAAAGCTTTGTTATTAATTATTTAGTTTATAACAATAATTTTTATTATTTTATTTGTAATTTAATTGTTATCCATGTATGAAAACCCAAGGCTATTAATGTAATCTTGAACAATATGTAGTTGACATACAAGAGAATCGCGTTCAAGTAATAACCTAAAGGGTCCGTAGTATATGGATAAAGTTGGATGCCTTATCGTGGTAACGCTATTGATATAGCCCACTTTGTAATCGTTACAAATGATTTGATCCAAATCGTTCATGTGCAAATATGTAAGTGGGATATCTTATACAATGAGTTTGTATAAGACTGGACCAAGAAATATTTAATCACTCTTCATAAATCCGTTAATTGAGAAAATTAATATTTCACATAATGATTATAGGTGACTTGATCTTAATCCTGAGTGAGTTATGAACTCCTACCTGTGACAGCTTGTTCTTTGATTTACATGGGTGATAATGACTCTTTTAGCTGACTCAATATGCCTACCATTTTAGGGACTTACCAAATAGGGAGTTGAGAACATAATAGCATAAGATGAAATTCACTCATTTTCATATACGAAAAGTAGATGAGTTGTTCTCTTAAGTATTGAGAACTTAAACAATGGGCCCCACCATCTCATTGGCTCTAGAGGGACTTGGTTTATGATTGGATCATAAACAAATTGTTCATTAGAGAATTAGTGGTACTTAAGTTGATAAGGGTAATATGAACTTTTGACCCAGCTATAATTATGAAAAACTTGTGAATGATCGACTTGTTTGTAATGATTATATGAATGGACATAACTTGTCCTACAGTGCATAAGAGTACAAGTCTAGGTCTACAGTGTAGTGACCAATAGTTAATGAATGAAAATTGATTAATTAATTAATTTTATATTATTGTAGCTTATAATTAGTAGGTCCATAAGGTCTCATTGTTAGCTTAAAGTAACATTGAAAGTTCAATTTATTTCAAAGAAAATGTGAAGTATTCAAATTGATATTTAATATACTAGATAATTAAATATAAAGGAAAAAAATAAATTTAATTTAAAATGTGAAATTAATATTTAATATATTAGATATATTAAATAAATAGAGAAAAATATTTATATTAAAAGAAAAATATATTTATTGTATTTGATACAATTAAATATTGAACCAATAATGTATTTGATACGTTAAATAAAAAGTATTTAAAATTTGAATAAGATTGAAGTTAGTTAAATATATATTATAATATTTTATAATATTCAAATATGATTTGTATAAGATATTATATCATAATATATTAAATATGCAAATATGCAAATATGGTATTTGACAAAATTCTCCAAGATTTTGTAAGACTATTGAGTCAAATGAAAATATTTGCTAAAATCACCCAGAGTAGAAAATTCTCAATTTATAATAAAATAAATTAAAGTACATGGAAAGAATAATAAATGAAAGATACAAATATTTGTTTTAATAAAATATCAAATATGATATATATGATAAACTATGTTTTAGTACAAAATATCCACTCTTGGGCATCGAAAATTGCAGAGAGATCGTCAGCATCGATGCCTTGACTCCAGCGAGAATATGACTAATCCACGAAAGTAGAAGGGAGAAACCTAGAAAGAGAATAGAGAGAGAGGGTCATTTGAAGGGTCTTGGTCAAACCACTAATAGAACAAAAAAGGGGAGAGAATGGAAAATTCCATAAGATTTCCATAAAGGGTGGACTATAGAGACACAAGGCAAAGGCTTCAGAATTAGAGTAATGACTCTATTTTGAGAAAAGAGTAAGAGACAGTAGAGAGTCATGTCTCCCGCAAAGGACGAAGATGGTGTTGAAGCCGGAATAGTCACCAAGTGGGGGGCGAGGGAGCCGATTTTGGCGAGGAGGCTGACGGTGAGTTAGTTGATGAAGAGGCTAGTGCGGCGCCCAAATTCCGAAAGTAAATCTCTGCAGAAGGTTGATGGGCTTGTCGAGATTCCATATAGTTCCAATGAGAACGTTGATGAGGATCGTGAGGTTAAGGTTTTTGTGAAGGATGAAGGGTCAATCAGGAAGAAAATGAGAGAAGCTATGTTGGCTAAGGGAAAACTAATTGTGTTGGAAAAAGTGAGGTTGTATGTACAAAATATAACGAAGAGTGATTTGGAGGTCAAAAGGGTGGAGCTAAAGAGTAGTCAATCGACTCCGCCTGCGGCAGCCATAAAAGCTGCTCGTACGGCATCAAAGCCAATAGTGGTGGTGGAGAAGAAGAGTAGAGGATTCAAAAACATTGACAATAAAGAATCGAGGATGTTAAATCAAAATAGTTATGATACCATGAGAATATTTGCTAAACCATCACCTATGAATAGTGTAAAAGGTCTTCAATTATAATCAAATAAATTATAAGGATACAGAAACAGTAATAAATGAGAGGGTAGGAAAGATACCTATGGTAACAAATATTTGCCTTTAATAAAATATCAAATATGATATATATGGTAAACTATAATTTAGTACTAAATATCTATGAACGGAAAATTGGGAAGAGAATAGAACTCTCGGGTTTAGCCAAAGACATACGAATCTCTCCCAATTTCTCTAGAGAATAAAATTACACAATAATTCTCGAAACTATTTTCTCCAATCCTTAGGGATTTTTTTTTCAAGAAGCTTCCACACGCCTTGACCTTGTGTTTGAGTCATGCATTGGTAGCGATTTTATTTTAATAGTAAAAATAAGTTCGTTATATTACATTAATTATATTTTAAAATTGAGATTTCGTTATCTTTCTTTATCGAGATATTTTAATTTCTTTCATTTTATATTTTTAAGATATATCTTTCAATTTAATTATCTAGCATTTATATTTTTTTTTTCTGGTTCTCTAGTGTTCATCCATCGTTTGATTAATCCTTGTTGTTTGTAATTATTCACAATCAATTTCTTTCATTTTCATCATCGATAGTTATCTCAATTTCTACCGACCCATTATTTGAAACATATATTTATACTGATTGATATAAGTTTGCCTCACATATAGTCATTGCATTTTATCTTCAAGTTGTATCATATATGCATAAGAATGAGTTCTAATAAATCTAGCACTATTAAGTTCAGTGAAGATAAAGATTTGTTACGATATCTGTTGATTGACATGTTTGATGATCCTATGTGATCGTTAACCATTGTGATATTGATGTCGTAAATTCTACAAATATAATATATCTCCATGATGACAATCTAAAGCAAACATAAGAAAATACAAGTGGATATCATAGATTCTACTCGTCTAAATTCGTGATAAGATTGTAGGAAGTCAATGGTGAAGAAAGAACAACCTTGGCTTGGCAATGTGATTAACACAGTGCCACCCGCGTAGTGAAGGTGAGAGACACTATAAGCAGGAAGCATCTTGAGCCACTCACTACCAAAATTTTCTTGGTTGTGTTCCAACATCGTTGGAGTACAAGGACCCAACGGATGAGCACTACTCGACCCAACTTTACGACAAACCCTAGCCCACCTCTACCCAAGCCCTTAAGGTGGGGTTTAGTGGAGGCATTTCGACATCAGAGCCTAAAAATCCGCAAAGCAACTGTAAAACATTCTTAAATAGGTATCTCCTTGAGTCTCAAGGAGGTAGTTACAACAATCCATAGTGAGCTCTATTGAACTAACTATTTGCTGAAGAGAATGAGTTTTTTAGATCATACCAAACTGATAGATAACGGGTTAAGATGAGGCTCAATAGTATACTTTATTCAAGGGTTTCAAAGAAGAAAAGTTGTTATGAAAGGCTCAATGATATACTTTATTTGAGGGGAGAATTGTTGGAGTTTCCATTGATACGAGACCTTAAAAAAAACCCAAAAGTCATAGTCTGTGAGACTTAGTTCTAGAGTGTGGAAAATATTAACTACCCATATTTAGGAGTGAAAGCTACCTAAGATCAAACTCGAATTGAAATCAAAAGGCATGAGGTATAAAGAGGAGACGAGTGAAATGAATAGGACTAGAAAAAGGTCTGACCTAAAATGGGATGACCCACATGGGTCACAGCCTAGACGAAAAGGGCACCATGTGGGTCGGCCAAGGCACAAGCCAATAGTATCATCTTTTTGTACCTTACACAACCTCTTTATTATTATAGGTGTAGTTGTCAAAGTAATTTGGTTCACAAGTGAAAGAGAAAAAAAAAATGTAATTAATGAATTCTCGGCACCTTATGATCTCGATATTCTCTTGCAACGTGGCCACGTTACTTACTCATCGCTTCTATGCATTAAGACTATGCCTACAAACTAACACGAGCCATTTTACCACACTTTTTCCTCCCTCATATGCATCCTAAGAAAATTCTCACGAAGTCACCTAACGTAGAATTACTATAGACAAACTATGTTTAGCCATAGAGTTTTTAGGGGTTAAGCCACAAAATATATCTTTTTATATATATATATACGACTTTAAGTTTTTTTTTAGTCATCCTATTCTCAAGATCGCTCTTATTTAGATGTGGTCTCGGTTCATTCATGAATAGGATTCATGAATGATTCTTGTGGGCATGTGACACCCGAGTAAAGAGAGATACATGACACCCGAGTAAAAGAGAGATACATGAATGAAGCGAGATCACGTCTAAATGAGAGAGATTCTAAGGAGAATGACTAAACTTAAAAAAATTGGAAGTCACCTATACCAACCGGGTGCACCTTCATGTTTTTGTGGTTCAATGAGAAGAACTCTAAAGTTAAATGTGCTTTATTTAGAGTAGTCCTACGTTGAGTAACCTTTTGCGAAGTTTTTCAAGAAGCATGCGAGCGAGGACAAACTATGTTTAAAGAACCCGTACTTGTTTGTAGGGATAACCTTCATTCTTAAGACTCC